AAAAAAAAAAAAAGAACAAAAAAAGAACTGTTGCTTGAGCCAAGGGTTATGACAGAAAAACCTAGTGGAAATCCCAGAAAGAAAAGCAACCTGTATTGACTTGAAATGCAACTGTGCTGGAGGTAATGGGAGTTTCTGATTTTTCTTCTTTGGATATAAGGAAAAAAATAAGTCAATCTGCCAGGCTTTAATAGGAACGAGCAGCCCTATTAAAGGACCGATTTAAACCTAATAAAAGCCACTGAACTTCATGGACCAGGGTCATGCTGTTAACAATCTGGACTAGAAGGTAAACAGAACATTAATTCAGCATGGAGTAGATGTGAATGCTGTGAGAACGGGTGGGAAATAAGATTGATTTTGGAGTAGCATGAACTATTACGCACAGATTAAAATATTAGAGATGTTTGAAAAGCAGCCGTGGCAAGCTCCCTCAGAGTGGCTGGCACGGATTCGGCTCGAGGGCAGAAAAAATTGCTTTAATTCCTCACAAGTCTGGGCCTGGCAGGGGCAGCTGCCCCCAGCGAGGGCAGCCAGGAGCCAGAGGAGCTGTGGTGCAGATCGGGGGGTTTGGTTAATGGGGTCCTGCCCGGAGCTGTGGCCGTGTGGCCCCGGGGCCAGGAGCAGCGAGCCCAGCCCACCAGGCAGCCAGAGAGGGGGAAAAAAGGGAATAAACCCTTCTGAGCCCCCTGCCACTAGCTCCCCTAATCTCAGCCTGGGGCCAAGCTGCCAGAAGTGAGCTTCCACATAAGATAAATGCACAGTGCTTCAGCTGGATGGATATAGGATGTCTCTACCTACAGCACATATATACATAAACACACACAGAGCATTATATAAATGCCTTATTAAACATATACGCCATAACATACAGCAGGACCACTTTTTTCTCCCCGTTTCAACTCCCCAGGGACTGACTGTGTGTTCTCTTCCCTTGCTGCCCATCTGGAGCCAGTAATTACACCAGTGCAAAGCTGGTATAAATTTACATTAGATTTATTATAAATTGTTCCCACTGAAACATGCATTCATATTTGACCGCATAGTTTTGCTGCAAGTTTTGCTCAGAAAACTAGGGAAGCAAAAAGCTCTTCCAAAACAATTTCATTTGATTATCCTCCAAGTTATACACTCCACCACTATAAACAAAGTTCGCTTATGAAAGCGTATTGAAGTGTCTTTCCAGGACGTCAACATTTAATACAGGTGAATTTACAATTCAAACTTTACAGATTTTTGTCAGTATAAACATTTATAAGGCAGATATTAAGATAATTTGATCTGTTTAGGAGCTGAACCTGAAAGAATGTTATTTTTAATCTGCAAACTCACTTACAGGCTCTTAGCAACAAAGACATTTGCCATAGAGTTTTCCAAGTACCCTGATGTAACCAAGATTTGCCAGAGACTTTGCCTATATAATGATTGCTTTTTCTTAGATTGTTTTCTTTGACGGTGGGAGGAGAGATGAAGGGACACAAAATCTAGCTGGTGTTTATAGATGTCAGTCCAGGTCCATACAGGGCTTTAGGCTTCTTGTATGGCTCTGTGCTTGCATTTGCCTTCTTTAGAATTAGGGTGCTACTACTCCCCACTTACCAGGTAAGCTGTGCTAGTCAAGAGCATTTTTTCCCATGCAGCAATAGCACTTTGAATGCAGGGGCTTCAGGAGCAGAGCAGAAGCAATGGAGACAGACACTCCAAAAGCAGGGGAAGGGGAGAGGAAGTAAGCATAGGTGGGGGGAAAAGGCAAAAGAATCACAGGATAGGTGAGTTAAAAAGCTGCTGAGTTGCTGCTGGTAAAAAGAGGGTTGACAATTTCAAAAATCTCACCTCATTTTTTAACAAATATTCTTTCTGTAAAAAATTAAGTTGAACAGCCTTTTTATCAAATGCATAATCATTTAATCTTAGTTCTTACAATACCTTCTCTTTACTTTGCCAAAGCAAAGCCACACATTAAATCACTCTATCAAGATGAAGTTACCATCTAATAATATAGTGGGTCTCCAGAATTTAGTTATCTCAGCCATGGACAAGGAATTTTTTTTTTTTTTTTGTGAATAATATCCATAGCATTTAATGAATTAATAACAGAAAACAAAGCACATCTTTTTAGGTGAACCATGGACATCCAATCTGCATATTTTTTACTTTTATAATATGAAAAGGAAATGGTAACAAATATCCAAGCTAATACCTTTCCTGTAGACAAACTATGCCTCTTCAGGAACTATGCAGCAATAGGATACAATATATCATCATTCATCATCTAAAGTATTCAATACAACTTCACCCATATCACAAGGTCACTTCTTCCAATGGTCATTTAAAAACCCCTAACTTTGTATTAAAAAAAAAAAGGTGATTTCAGAAAAAAAGTGTCTTATTATAAGAGTCCTGATGTTGTGGAATCTTGAAGATACTCAGA